GGCGGCGGCGGCGGCGGCGGCGGCGGCGGCGGCGGCGGCGCGGAGGGCTCGGACTGGGAGCCAGAGCTCGGCTGGACAGCGCGAGAGCAGGAGCCGCAGGAACTGCAGCTCCGCCAGCTTGGGCCGAGCCCGGAGATCCCGGCCTGGCTGGTCGGCGCCAGCCGCAGGTGGGAAGTGGTTGGGGCGGGCGGTGAGGGGCTCTCCCGGCTTGGGGCTGAGGCTGAGCCGCGGTGCCGTCTCCTCCCTCGGTTCCATAGATTGAGGCTGAGCATGGAGCTGTCCCCCCGCAGCCCTCCCGAGATGCTGGAGTCGGATTGCCCGTCACCCCTGGAGCTGAAGTCAGCCCCCAGCAAGAAGATGTGGATTAAGCTTCGCTCGCTGTGAGTCCCCGGCCGGGCGTAGGGGGAAGGGATCTTAGGGAGCCCGGAAGGGGGTGGGGGTGGGTGGGTAGCTGGAGCCGGGCTGGTGGATTCCCTCCGGCACACATGTTGGCAGGTGCGAGGAAATAAGCGGCCCTGACGCGCAGGGCCAGGCCACATGTGCAAAAGGCATGTGCGGAGCAAGTCGGCCGGTTGGAGAGGGTTTAGGAGTTGCAAAGCTAATGACGCGCCCGTGCCGGTGGACCCCCCGGGGGACACACGCAGCGCGGAGAGGCGGCACGGGATGCGCTGTGTGGCAGGGCTGCAGACGGGCAGCTTTCGGGAGGTGCCAGGCTGACTCACACGTATCCGTGTGCAGGGTCGTGCAGATGTGAGAACACATGTGTGTGCATGAGGGTCCGTGGGACACACAGATGTGTGTAGAGTGATGGCACACAGCTGCAGATCTAGTGCATGGGGATACTTGTGCCAACCTGTGGGTCATATGGGTCTCCGTTGGGATTGGTGGTTTCAGCCTCCTGCATCTTTCAGGAGGTGGGGATGGGGGCGCCCCGTACCTGAACCCCTCATTTCTCTTGGGGCCTGGAAATCCACTGTGCACAGTAATGATGGGGGACCCAGCTGGGATCTGGAAGAGGGGGGTGGAGCCCCTACCTGGGAGCCCCCGGTGGTGGTGGTGGTGGTGGTGGTGGTGGTGGTGGTGGTGAAGAAAAATTGATTGACAGGGATAAGGTAACTGTCAAAACCTTTTTGTTGCTATATGATCTCCCAAGGATCTCCAAGCACATTTAGGCATCTTTTCTTGTTGTTGCAGGAGAAGGGCATGGGGGAGGATGGATAAACAGGGAAACAAGGGACTCAGGTGTCCCATACTCCGGTCCCAGGGGAGGGAAGCAACTTTTCTTTCTGTTCCTCAGAGGAGGAGAGGATTGGGTCAAAGACAGACCATGCACCATGTTTATCTCGCAGTCAGACGCCATCGGGTAATCTCCGCAGTCTGTTGATTCTTAATCAGAGAACAAGGGAAGGTGTCCTTCTCCCTGATATGACTCCCAATGGTCCCAGGAAAAAGGCTGGAGATGTTTGGTGAGGAAATGCGGGAACCATAGCCCTGAAACCCAGTTCCTCCCCATTATCCTCAATAGTGAGCACTGAAGCTTTCCATTTACTGGGTTCTGGCAGCGGGAGAGACGGTGGTAGGAGATGGATGGATGCTAGTGATTGCTTTGTTTTTAAAATACTATATCTATGGTAATAAGATGACCCCTTGATATTGGGTGGGTCTGTCTGATTTATACTGTAGCTGCTCGGAGAGGGCTTAGGGAGAACTGAGGCACAGTGGGCAACAAGGCTTGGCATCCAAATGTGCTTCTCAGTTCCTCTCCTTTGCTGCCTCCAGCCAATGCAATTTGCTGGGCTCTATGAAGCGCAGCCTTGGAATGAGTTCTGGGATGAAGAAATGGAAAACCGGATTGAATTGATTTTTGTTGGGAGGAGCACTGGGTGATTTTTGACAGAAGCCGGTGCTCTGTTAATGGTGACTAAGCCAGGGTTGGGGTGGGGGTGGGCAGGTAAGGAAGCGGTGGAAAGGCAAAGAAGGGACCTCATGGTTCATACATTAGAGAATTCAAGGTGTCCCAGGACGGCTTCCCCATAGTGCTTATAGCTCATCATATACTTTCCTTGCCTCCTTTCCAGGTAATGAATGAGACCTGCAAGAGAGTGGGTTTTACCTGTTCACTGTCTCCCACACCTTTCTAACCCAAAGTCTTTCCTAGAAGAAAATTGCTCTTTCTTCCTTGACTATGAGAAGTGCTCACTGGTGAGAGAAGAGGATCCCCAGAGGAGGCACTGAAGTCCAGGGAAAGAAGGGAATTGAAGCAGCTGCCCCTACAGACTGCATTAGCTGAGATGTCCTTATGGGAGATCATGGTGGACAGGGATCGCTAGTCTTATTGATTGAATTATTCTGGTCTTCACTCCTGTCAGCAGTCTGGTTCTTAAGAGTGCTAGCTGCATGTCATAACTTATCCAGAAAAGCCCCGTTTTCATATTATCAGTCACCAGGAATAGATTCTTGATCTCCCTTTCTCAGAGCAGAGAAAGATTTTGATATCAAGGTAGATCCCGAGTTGATGGCTTATTGGATTTGGCCCTGTTTGAATATTGGGGAGGCTTGAATGTGGAAAGAGGGGGATGGACATGATTATCCCATGAGTGGGTTCTGAATAGAAATGAAGACATATGTATAAAGGCCTTGATTCCTCTACACAACATATCCTATCCCCCCAGCCCCCCAACTGTCCTTTCAGTTTCTTTTTTAAAAAATTATTTAATGTTTATTTGTTTTTGAGAGAGAGAGAGAGAGAGAGAGAGAGAGACAGAGGGTGAGCAGGGGAAGGGCAGAGAGAGAGGGAGACACAGAATCCAAAGCAGGCTCCAGGCTCTGAGCTGTCAGCATAGAGTCCAATGCGGGGCTCGAACTCGTGAACTGTGAGATCGTGACCTGAGCTGAAGTCACTCCAAACCCTCAACCACCGACTGAGCCACCCAGGTGGCGCCTCATATCCTTTAAATTTCTAATATAGGACATCTAGAGGGAGTCCTCCATTCAGGGAGGCTGGGTCTGGTGTTTTTGCCTTGGGTTACAAAGCCCATACAAAGCCCATCAATGAATCTCATTGTGCAGGGCAGTTTCTTCTTGGGAAGGGCATCCAGGACTCCTGTTTCCCACAGTAGGACTCTGCCAAAGATTAACTTAAAATCTGGAAGCTATGAGCTGAAGTGTCTCTAGCTATGGGATTTCACCTCTACCTGGCAGGAAAATTTTCCTAACAGCGCAGACCCATGAGGGGAGGCACAAGAGAGGCTGGGATGGACAGTCTGGAGATGATGGGTCGAGCAGGGTGAGTATCTCTAACCCTGAGTGAAGGATTTGACTGGACTGCCTACCCTGCTCTGAGATGAGAGGGCCTTGAGGAGTGTAGGGTAGGGTCAGTAGAAGGAGGTTTTCTGTGTATTTTGTGAATCAAGAAAATCTGTGAACAGAGATTGGTTGGCTTGCCATCCTTAGCTCATTCATCCATTCAACAACTATTAATTGAGTGCCTCCTGAGGGTCAGGTGACGTGCTGGAGGCTGGGATATACTAGTGAACAAAGTAGACGGTCCCTGCTCCTATGGAGTTTGTAATCTGGAGTAAAGTGCAGTGGAAAGGGGATAAGGCACCCTGTTCCTCATTTTGCTACATCCATCCAAGTGGTAAAGCTCTACCACTCCAGTTTCTGCCTAAACTTTTCCTCTGAGGGGGCCTAGACACCAAGAAAAGCATAGAAATGAATTCTTTCTCTTTCTCCCAGGATAGTACAAGCATCACTTTCTTCTCTCTGTCCCAGTTTCTCCTGGAATTTTACAGACAGAACTTCCCTTTTCCTTTGGGATAGTATAAACACAATCACTTCCTCTTCTTTCTTCACATGGACTCAGGACTCCCCAGATCTAGGTGCTATGTCCTAAGCTGTGGTTCAAGGTCATTACGGCTGAGCTGGAACAAGGACCCAGCTGGGCATTAGTTTTGGTTTTCTTTGTTTCATCAGAGTCTAGTGTGGTACCTGAAACATAATAGGCACTCAATAAATGCCGTTAAATAAAAGGAATGAACAAATGAATTAATGAGTATATGTGTACATGTCACGGGGCCCAGTTCTGTCTCTGATTCTGTGGTGCGTGTGTTCCTGCGTGTGGGTGGAGGGGGGTGGGGTAGCAGGAAATAGGGATGGAGGAAAAGGAGATGGTGTTGTGTTTTGAGAAGGCGATGTTTGAAAGGCGTGGGGTTTGAGGACCTCAGGACGGAGCCTGGAGCTGAAGGAGTTGCAGAGAGGATACAGAAACGTTATTTGGGTGTGTGGATGAGATGTATGAGGATAAAACTGTAATGCCTGACTTGGGTACATATGTGTCTGGGTGAAGGTTGTGGGGGGGGGGCAGTTTGTGGAGTCAGACCTCCATGAGGATGCCTCTTTGTTTTCATATTTATAAATGGCATTTGTGATAATAAATATGTCGGGAAGGCATGCACTTCCCTGAATACCTGAAATTGTCCTATGTATGAATGAGATGATGATGATGATGATGATGATGATGATGAGCGTGTGTGTGTGTGTGTGTGTGTGTGTGTGTGTGTGTGCATGCGCGTGGGCATGTAGGTTATGGGATACTAAGTATGTGTGATCTTGTGTAGGTGTCTGCGATACACTAACATTTTTTTTTTTTACAATACTGGGGAGATGAAAAGGGCAGTCGGAGGAAGCTGAGGGACTGGACTGGGTGCCTCACTGATTGATTTATCCCCCCTTGTGTCCTCATTTTGTATGTGACCCACAGAGTGATCTTCAGTGGCTCTTACTGTTTTTGAAAGCTGTGCAGCCGTTCTCCTTTTTCTGCATATGGCTGTGGGGCTGCTGTGAAGATTGCAAGATAAACTGTGGCTCCCTGGATCTCTGGAGAAAAAGCCCCATTTCTCCCAGGCCCTGGCAGGGATGAGTTTTAGTGCCTCCCTCCTCAGATCAGCCCAAGTCCCTCTTTTATTTCCAACCATGGCAAAGGGAATCTCTCCTTCCTGGGTTTTCTAGCCCCCTGTCTCACCAATACCTCCCGTCTTTCCATTTCCTTCATCAGCTGTGTCTTGAGTGAGGCATCTCGATGGTAGAAGGTGAAAAACTCTTGCAGTAAGGGAAAGGGAGGTGCAGGGAGGGAGGACATCAATTTAGACCACAGGAAGAACTTCACAAACCTCTGGTCGGAGCGGGTGGCTGGAGAGAACGAGCATGGCCGAGTGGTGGTGGTGGAAGAACATAGGGAGTGGTGGGAGACTTGAGTTGGAGTTCATGTGCCCATGCCGCCAGTTAGTAGCTGCATGACCTTGAAGTCACACGTAGTCCCTCTGATCTCAGTTCTTCATTTGATACCATCCACGTGAAGGTTTGTAGATGGCAAAGTCTG